AAAAAAACAGATGAATATTTTGGAGAGGGACCAGTCATCTCAGCTACCGTGTTTTTCTCTTATCAGGTCTATGCTGATGCTTCTCTGGTTTTCCCATTGCTGGTTGCAGAGACTTTTGCTCAGAAACCCAATGCTTTTGTTCAAGAAAAGAAAAATGACTAAACTGGGAACTGCTGCATGAGGCATTATATCTGTTCAGAACTGCCTGCTTCCATCCTGCATAACATCAGTCAGCACTTATGTTGAAATTGCCACGAAGATCTCCCTGGATGAATGGAGAGTGCAGCATATTGATCATTCAGATAGCTACTTCTACAATCCCCACACTGGACAGAAGTTGTATCCCAATTGTCTGCATATGATATTTAAATTGGGAAGTAATAATTCTACTAACCATTACTACTTGCAATGATGGATCTTGTACTGAAAAATATGGTGGAGTTGGGAAGGAGAAGACCTTCAGTTATGTGCTCAATTCTTCCAAAGAAATTTTATGCAATGGTGGAATACATTAGGGGTTCTGGAATTTGATTTGTGTGTTTGTGTGTGTGTCTTTCAATGACTGAACCAGGCCATACCTCTGTGATCTGGTCTCTCCTGTCTCCTTAGTCAGCCCCTGATATTTATTCAAGGTGTATTATGTGGAATTGCCTAAGAGCCATAATTTTGTAATAAACCACTGAAGATTTTAAACATATGAGTGTTCTAATTCTTTTGGTGCCTTTTTGCATCCAAGTGTCAATGACATTTTGTGACTTTTTGTGCATCTGAGTTAACAACCGCCATTATTTAAGGTTTTTTTTTTATTATTCTTTCTGGGGCAAATTTGTAAGTTGATTGAAAAAATAGTTTGCTGAACAATATATTTAATATTCTGCATTTTTTTGTGGGCATTCAGAGATGATACAGTTTTGGTTTATATAGTATGGGGAAATGGAAATTAAATAATGGACTTCAATTATTTTAAAAGCTTTTTGGCAAAGAACTCAGATGTTCAGTATAACTTGAAATTGCAAGCCTCCAGTAGCTCTGGATAAAATAGCTCCTCTTAAAGTTTCTCCCAAAATAATTTTTAATCTGTCTGGAAAAGAAAATAATTTAATACTGGATTTGAGTAATCAAAATAACTTTTTATTTCTAACAGTTTTATTAAATATTACAACTACACCAATAAAAAAAACTAATGCAAACTTTTTAGAAAATAAGGTGCAGAAAAAATATATAAAGAAAAAAAGAAATAATACAATAATCAAAAAGAAATGTATAAAGAAATGACTTCCTCTTTCATCTCAACATATATAAACAGTTTTAATAATTTATCGCCTCTTAAAATGCAACAATTTATTTTTTCTTCACATAATCCCATCTTTTATATATAAACAAATCCATGAAAAACTCATCATTTTAATCCGGTCACATTATTTCACAGAGAAAAACAACACTGATAATGTGCCCACTACTTATAATTCACATCTTCACTTAATATATGGAGTTTTATTCATAGTTTTATTTCTAATATATAAAGTTTTATATTTTTTCTTTCTTACTTCCAAGATTCAGACATGTAGTTATCATTAACATATGGCTTTGTGTTATAGGATTCCCAATATTGGTTCTTCATGAGACACAATGTCTGTACGTGATTTGTGTTTTATGCAAGAGGCATCCTAAGAGTTGGCTGTCAAGTCTCTGCTTAAATATATCAAGGGAAGGGAAGTCCACAATCTTTGTGGGTGAATTGGCTTCTGTAATCAATTGCTCTTACTGCTGGGATTTTTTTTTTTAAAGTCCCGTCAGAATTTGCCTTTCTACAGTATAACACAAACCCATTCTTTCACGTCTTCCACTTTGAGGTGCTAGGGAACAAATTTCTACCTTGATCTCAATTATGCCTTTTCAGGTATTTGAAAAGGGCTGTTGTATCCTCCCATAGCTGTCTTCTAAAAGCTAAACAAGAATCCCAATTTTTGCAATCTGTCATCAAATAAACAATTATACAAGTCATCATAGTTTACTTTCTCCTCCTCCTCCTCTTTTACCCTCACATACAATCAACACAAAGTTTTAGAAAGCATACCTTACAGCTGAGTTTTCATTTGTTTTCCAGTAATTCTGCTTACTGCGAACATTGACTCTACACTAGGGGTGTCAAACTGCCGGCCTGTGGGCTGGACACGTCATTCAGAAGGCGCACCCACCCCATTGCCAGCAATGGCAAAATCGGCCCGATACGTTGTGCGACGTCACGTGACGTCGTGAGTTTGACATGTCTGCTGTATACCGTTCTCCCTTTCCCTTATTTAAAAGGTCCAAATTGTATGCCTATAAAAAAAACAGTTCTGAGATATGAGAGGCATGTTAATATTCTTTGGGAACGGGGTGGTTGGTGATGCTGGGGGTACTTATCTGCTACAACATAAACCATCATGAAATCACTTAAACAGATATGTATGATCCAATTGGGCCATGTTCTAACCTCAGAATCTAGGAAGAAATACAGATTGGTTTCCTAAGATCTCTCCTCGTCCCAAGACTAATAAATAAGGCAGGGTATAAATAATTGAATGAATAAATGCCTAATACAGCACTGGGACTAATGATGAGACTATTTAGAACCGAATCAGTATTTTCTGATTAGTCTGTTACCTGGCTAGAGCTTAACTTGGTCGTGAGGGACTGTTTACTATAGGTCAACATGATGGTTGAATGTTATAAATAAACTGCTCATTCTATCTGGTCCCTGAGCTCTTGTTATTCTGAGACTAGAAGTATTCAGAATCCAATTTAGCATTCTTTCAGTAATGTTGGGGATGGATTTAATAAAACTTTATTATTGCATGAATGTATGTATGTAAAGTTTATAGAACTTTATAGAGTTTATAGAACATGGTTTGGTTTACTAAACATAGACATAAACATAGAATAACCAAGTTGGAGGTCCCAACCCACTGCCCGAGTGGGATAACCTATAACATTTCAGACAACTGGCTGTCCAGTCCAGGATTTTTTTTACTATGATCTAATATTAAGGCTATTCTTGCCTTTAATTAATAATTTCCCCAGCTAAACAGAAGAATTTTGTGTAAACAATTTTGCAGTAAAAAAAATAAATTGCAACTTCAGTTCTGAAACTTTTCTACTTAATATTGTAAGAATGTCATCTCTATAGGTTAAGATGGATTTTTCCCCTTTATTTTTATTTCACATCTGCTCTGAAATCATTACAAGGCAATCTAATGCAATTCCAGGTCAAGTGAAGGGGAAGGGCTTCAAAAAGGAGCATGTATATATTCTATCTATCTATCTATCTATCTATCTATCTATCTATCTATCTATCTATCTATCTATCTATCTATCTATCATCTATCTATCTATCTATCTATCTATCTATCTACCTACCTACCTACCTACCTACCTACCTACCTACCTATATACATTCTAGATTCTGCCAAGAGGATTAGTTAGTATTCCTAGTATTCACAAGCTTGGAAATGCTGGCTCTTTGTCTTTCTCCCATCTGCCTGTCCTCCCTAACTATGCAGAATATGCTATAGGACTCTTAGTCTGTGAGATGGTAAATCAGGGAAAAACAAAATTTTCAAGCTACACGTTTTATTTACTGTACAAGCATATAGCTTTCCAAAGAGGCGACTAGGCAAGCAATTTGTTCAAAATG